TTTCTAATATCATTTTTTTTCATTGGATTACATTGGAGTATTCGTATCACTAGATTAAAATAAAAATGTAGAATTAACCATACAATATTCAAGTGTTCTACATTATTCATAACAATATCCTTGGCACATTAGTATTTGTGTTATTTAATATAAATACAAGAAACTGCAAGCATGGTATTAGGGTCACACAAATAACTGGCTGCTCTGATTAACTGGATTTAACTGTATAATGGGGGTTGTACCGATACTTTAGGATTCAGTCCAAATAAGTGGCTTGTCCAATTAACCGGTAGTCTAATTAACCTTAATTGACTGCATTTTAAATCATTACTCATCATAGTGCTTTGTGATAAATACTTGATCTATTCAAACCACTTTCAATCAAAATGAACCAGATCATTCTAACTTTAAAGGTTTTTTTTTTTAGTTTGTTTAAAAGTATTGTAATAATTCTTTTAACAATGAATGTTTTAATTTTGTCCATACTTTTTTTAAGGCTGTTGCTGTAGCTGTGGTCAAGACATTGGTCTCACCTGCACGCATAGTTGGCTCAGCTATTTCAGACTTTTTAACTGCTGTGCTTAAAGATCTTCCATTGCAATACCAGTTCATTGTGCTACCATTCATAATTGTGTTGATCTTCCTCCTGATCTTCATTACTGCAGGCTATGAAATAAACTCATTTCTTATAAGTATTCAGAAAGCAAAAAATAATCAGGTATTCTTATATTTACTAAGTATTTACTAGAATTACTCATTTGTTAACCAGTGTTAAAGCGAAGTACACTATAAATAATGTGTTAAATTTAGTGTTGAAATAAAATATTAAGTTAGCACTAATCATGACAGGGCAGGAGAAATACTTGAAATTTTGAATAATTATCACCTCAAGCCAAGCTAAGTTAGTCAAGGGCATTTAAAAGATTAGATTTTAATCCTAAAATGTGATTTAGTTAAAAATAATTGTTTTTTCATATGATTTCATAGCATATGGAAAAGACTATCAATCAATTTAGCTCAAGATACTAATAAATTTCACCCTAATGCAAATAAGATTATTCTTCCAAGTATATAAAAAGTGACAGTTGGATATATTTTATACATAATAAATTTACATTTTAACTTATTGTTTATTAATTACAGTTAAACATAATCAGTATTAAAATTGTTATTTAGTATTTTAATGAATTTTTTTTTTTATATACTGAAATTATTTTTAGCAACCAGCTGCAGTCCGAAATTCAGATCCCCCTGCTATAGAAAACATTAAGCCATCTCCTATTGATGAACCAAATCCAATGATTTTAGCTGCTCCAGCTAGACACAATTCTGTTCATGCTATTTCTGAAATTCCATCTGATGCTACCATTCAAAAGCCAGTTTATGCTGTATCTAGAACTAATGCTTCTCATATTGTGGAAAATACGCAATTCAACCAGAGAAGTGAAAAAAAATTTCCACAAGTGCTGACAAATCAAGTACCTCATGCAAATGATAGACTTCAAACAACTGCTGATACATTACCTTCTGCTAACAATAGACTTCAAATATCTTCTGATACAGAACCAAGAGGAGAAAGTAATCTACATCCAAAGATTTCTGAAAAAATCCAAAATCTCTCAAACCTTGTCCTTTCAAAGAGAGATGAACCCATTGAAGACATTACAAAACAACAAGAGTCAAGTGAGAACTTTGATTCATCTGGTGACAATATAACCAAAGGAGTCCAAGAACTAGATATAACAAATGTAGAGGAAGGTTCTGAAGATAAACATGTCAGTGAAACAGACAGCTAACTTTTCTCAATCTCCTGTTGTCAGCTTCAAACAAGAAAAAGAAGGGAAAAATCAGTTTTTCAGAATAAGATAGTCTCTGTGTAGTTTGCTTTGTAGTTCATTTGTAAAATTAACTTTTGTGTATTTGCTTTCTAAATTAAGTAGAATTAAGTGATTTAATTAAAATGTTTACTCATCAATTGAAGATTATTTATTTTTTTTAAGTAATTTAACATAACCTGCATTGTGTGCATTTCATTTATTATTTGGCTTGAGCAGTCAAATTAAGTCAAAAATATGTATTTTGGCAAAATTTTTTTTCAGCAATACTGGTGTTCATAAATAGTAGATTTATTCAAGAAGTATGTGCCAAAACTAAAACTAGAAACTTCAAGTACTAAGCCCTCATCAGCTATTGTCATTTGTATTCACATTTACAGAATTTGTGTAGATGTTGCTATTTAGAAGTTGTGTAAATTTTGATAATAGAAAATGTGTACATGTTGCTTATGAAAAAATTGAATACATTTTGCTAATGAAAAAGAAATTGTGTATATGTTGCTAAAGAGAATTTTTGTACATGTTGATTAGGAGAAATTGAGTACATGTTGCTAATTTGCAATTAAGTACCTTACATATTGCTAATTAGAATTAAGCACTTGTTGCTACTCAGAAACTGAGTACTTATAGCTTTAAGGTTGTGACTTTTGTATTTCTGTTGTTTGATGTATCATAAGCTCACACCTAAGTTTTTTTAAAGTAACTTTGCATTCATTCTTTATGTTTTTCCTCTGTACACTGTCTCTAATTTAAATAAAAGATTTCAATGTTTCATTTCACTGATGCAAATAATGTATGATTTCAGAATATCATTTCATAAGTTGTTCTTTTGTAGATAAAATATTTGTGCCAACTAGAACTGTCTTCCCAATGCTTCTGTGAATGCATTTTGTTTTCTTCCATTAGCAATGGAGGATTGTGATTGTTATTTAATATTTGCTATCTCAATATTGAATTAAATGAAACTATATTGAACTATTTTGTTGTTTTTACTTGTTTAATAAAAAAAATTAGGCAGAAGTTGAGAGAATTACTGCCTGCTACAGGGCTGACCCAGAGTGTGGGACATGGAGAATGCATGTTGCACGGGTTTTAAAAAAAAGTTACTATATCTAAATTATAAATGCAATTTATTAATATTTCAACACATTTCTCTATATTGTGTCAACACCCCATCCCCATCTCAAGATCTAAAATGTAGAGGGGGGGGGGATTCATTCAACCAACGTATCATCATCAAACTCCATTTGAGTGAGGGCTTGAGAGGCTCAAATCCTCTCTTGCAAAAGACCTGTACAGAAACCCTGCTGTCTTGCATAGTGCATTCATGTCACCATACATGTCGAGAATATCAGAAACCTCATTAGTAAAAGATTGTGATGTGATTACTTCCTAGAAAGGTGGCCTTTTCTCTGTACAAGGACAGACCCGTTGCCGCACATGGACCAGTTCTCTCTCACCGTACTTGCACGGTGCATCATTTAAGAAAGCCGTTCGGACCGCGGTTATCGCTACATAGCGTCGTCTCTGTATAAAAACACCATTGTAGAAGACGTCTCACGACCGTGAGGAGCTCATCCACCTTTCCCCAGTTTAAGGAGGAAAAGCTCAGTATTCCACCACATGCCTCACAAGAAAAGGAGAATGGTGATAGTAACGCAGGTGAATCAAAAGGGGTGGGGTAATAGACCTAGCTAGGTGGAGGACAACATACCAGGATATACAAATAAAAGGCCGAAAAACATTGCTTTACATTTTAACATGGGCCTCTCTTGTTGTATGAAAATAGTTTTATTTTTATATATTCGTATTTATATATAGGGTTAGGGTTTTTTTAAATATAAAGACAGCCCCCGACCCTCCAAATTTCTGGATCCACCTTGTAGATTCCCACAAGATAAGAAAGGTCCAAGATGGACTGGGGAGGTCTGTTGTTGACTGCCCATGTTTCAATAGGATGGAAGGGCTGTAAGTTCAAATCAAGCAGTTACGTTTTTTTTTAATTATTAAAGAAACATTTTGGCATGACACAATTGAATTAATCCCAATTTATTGCAGGATCCTACCATTTTGTTACAAAGCTTATTTCAACTCGCTCTGTCTGTCAGTCTCTTGTAAACAGCTAGAAAAAGTTTTTTTCTCCCATTTCCCATTCTCGGATCAAGTTAAAGCTTTGCACAATTATTCATTGAACCTGACAAGACATTAATCAATAATAATAATTTAAAAAAAAATTATTACTGATTAATTTTGTTTGATATCGAAATAAGTGGAATAAATGCTACTTAATATGAGGTGTGGATGTATAATATAAATGTAATGCCCTTATTACATTTTCGCATTTTTCTCTCACTTCCTTTTCTCGAATAAGTTGAAATAATCATGAAATAATGAAATATTTATAGTCCGATGATATTACACGAAACAATCCAAAAAATTAACCAATTAGTTAATCGGTTTGTTAGGATAGTTAATTAGTTTTGTTTTATATGGCGGAAAGAGAGCCAAAACTTGTAATTTTCAGTAAATGTCAGTTCATTCCCTTAGATGAGCTTTATTTTTAAAAAGTATTATTTTTTCTATTGCTTGTTACTTTTGACTTTATTGGCTTATTTGTCTGTGTTCTGTTTACCAAACTGTTGAATTTTTTTTTTTTTTAGAGCGCTGGAGGTCTAATTCTTTTTACTATATGGTAGGTCTAAATGTTTTTTTCAAGCCCTTGTGTCAATGCATAATCATTTACATCATTTTTAAATTTTGTTTGAAATTTTGCCCTTTAGCAAGTTCTTGATAATTAATTTTGGATATTTCCCTCCAAACTGTTTACCTAAATAAGTGTAGACAGTATAGGTAGTGATAATTCTGAGTAAAATGCCTGCTCTTGAGTTGCAACAATTTATTACCATGTCAGAGAGGAAATGATTCTGCTCATTGGTGACAAGATGATAAAGACTTAAAAAGAGTATGTGTGTAACTATTAGTTCTTGATACTGATACAAATAACAAATCAGACAAAAAAAATTTTTTTTTCAAATAAAATTGTGGTGCTTTTATAAATTCCATTTTTTAGCATTTTATTGGAATGTTAAGCTCATATTTAATAATACCATTCCAACAATATTGTTTGACAATATCCATATAAAGAGACCAACTCAAAAGCCTTAATTTAATAAAGTTATTTAATAGTCATTGAGAATTTGAAATGAACTATTCACACATCAATGTTGTTAAACAAACAGACAGGGAAAATCCGCAATAAAATGACAAGGAAAAACTGATTAAGATAAAAGTGTTTAATCAGACATAATAAAAAGTAGTGTAAACTGTATTTTATGTGTCATTATGATTCATGAAAGAAAGCAAAGAAAAGAAGGCACTAATACTTTTTACCATCAACCTTCATAGAGATAGCAGTGAAGGCAAGACTACATGGAGATCTCATCAGGCCTTACAGCAACAGTTACATATCTCTGCTGCATCTCATTGTGATGTGAGGACAAATGATTAGAAATTTAAAAAATACCCCCCCCCCCCACCCCCAAAAAAAAAACAAAAAAAACATTATAATTGTTTATTAGATGAGAAAATTAACTAAGCCTTTAGCACTAATAGAGTCAAAAAGTTTTGCATAAAGATGAAGACATCTTTAAAAGGTTAAGGTGAACACTAAAATAAAATGAACAAAATCTGAATATATGAATTATTTCAACATGCATGAATTTCATGCTTTATATCTAATTGAACATAGAACAATATCATCACATTATAGTGTATATATTTATACATATATTAATTAATTTTTTTTAAGTAATACATCTTTTTGTCAACAGCCTTCTAACTGAAAACTATTAAGAAGGCACAGTACCAACCAAAAGTTATCTGAGCCTCTTCAAATAAAATAAGATGAAAGTGAATGGTTATATACTTGATAATACATAAATTACAAGACAGTTCTACATTTAGAAGTTGTGATTGCACATTTTAAAATATGGTTTTTAGGTTCATTTCATTAACAGGAATTGTTAAGTGTATAAATAAATAAAAATAATTTCCAAGAATCAATTGTAACAAAATGTTTTTGTGAATGATAAATAATAATATGAAATAGTCATGCACTTCTTGCTAACCTATTTCCTTTTTATAATTGATCAATGCTTGTTGGACATGTACAAACTAACTTAAAAGATGGGCTACACTATCACAAGGAAGAAATTATTGTTCTTACATTAGAATGTCACAACCACACAATAAAGGACATACTAGTTAATCAAAGATGGAATACCAAAACAAATGAGGAGATCTGTAACTAACATTTTGATCATAGCTCCAAGATCATTATTCTGTCAGCAACACAATGCAAGCAACATTTGGATCCACAAAGATCTATACATCAACAAGTTGTTGTTGTTTTATTTAATAATGCATGACATTGTTCAACAACAACAACAACAATGTCTGACCATAAAGCTGCAAATCTGTTAAACTAGGAGATTTTGTTCATGTCTTCAGAGTATGCATGTACAGCTTCAATAAACTCTCCTAGATGGTCAGGGTCTACATCTTTCAATACACCATGTCCAAGATTAGCTATGTATCCCTGTGTTCCAAACTTGGTCAACATTTCTTTCACAGCCTTTCGAATTTCATCCTTGCATGCAAATAGAAAAATTGTATTTATTACATGAAACAAGCAATTCAACAAGTGTAAGGAATAAATGAACCAATAGAAAATAAAACTGCACAATGAGATTACACTTAGTTAAATTGTGAAAGAATAAACCATTTGCTTTTAGGTCAAATATTTCATCAGCACCATTTTGAAAAGGGAGTTTGTTAATCTCACACACTAAATAATTTGTGATAGATGCTACATTTAATCAAAGATAAAACCATTAACTTTTTTTTTTAATTGCTTCAGTAAATGGCTGACTTCATATCAATCTAATCAAAGAATATACTTTCTGAAATGTGAAATGTTATAAATGTCTGCAATCTTTGTTTCAAAGACACATAGCTATAGAGTGTACTATGGAATTACACTTTCACTTAAGAAAAAGTCATACGTCTCAATTTATTTTGAAATTTGGTTTAAGCCGTATCTTACTTAAAAATGTAATATAACTATTATTGAATCATTAGCATTATTTTCAATAAAAGACTTTATGTTTGTTTTTGATGCCATTATTAAAGGTAACTTTGACATCTGTATAGAAATGATGAAAGAGGTCATGATATTAAAGTAAGTAGCAGTCACAGAGATGAGGTGACCTGAATTCATAGACACAAGGTACACAGGAAGAAAGCAATGTTAGCAAACATCGAATTCTAGATGTTCTAATGGTGGTAGTTTTTTTTTATCTAAGTTAGAAATATTTATAGGAAACTGGAGATTTATTTGTTTTCTCCAAATATCCAGGACATGCATATTATTTCATGTTTGATCCACAATAACTCTGATTTTGATATAATAAATCATGCAGCAGATCATTCCGTTACCATTAACATACTGCCGAAAGCAGTTGATTATTAATTCTTAAAAAAAAAGACCAAATCAATAAATGTTTTAAAAAAAAGCATTTACCTTTGGAGCAAACATCATGACTGGATCCATATTGCCTTGAAGTGCCACACGATTACCTGCCAATTTTCTTTAAAAAGAAATAGGGCCTAATTTTTACCTTCAATAGTTAAACAAGCCAATAATTGACTATAAATAAAATACAGATGTGTGTTAGACTATATCAAATACTTTACTTTTGATTATATTTCTGGTCTTAATGAGTTTGTTAATGCAAGGTTATATAAAAGAAAATTGCTATTACAGAATGAAATACATAATGGCAGTTGAGGAATATACCTTGCATGAAGTGGCTCAACACACCAATCTAGACCTACAACTTCATATCCAGATTGAGATAAGTCTTCAATAGCGAAGTGACCATCTTTAGCAAAGACCACCTATAAATATTAATGATATTAATTAACTTTCATGCTACTTTTAATTTATTAATTTTTTTTTTTAAGAAGCAGATATTAACTTATCTCTCTTGTGTTACTAAATTCTAACCATAGGGATTGGTTCAATTTCCAAAGCCTTTAGAGTTTCCCTAACTTCTCTTGCAATCTGTCTCAATACTGGCAACTCAAACTTGGAAAATAATATAGGACCCAGCTCTCCAGCAAATGAATCAAAAACTTGCACAATCTGTCATAAGTAAAATATTTGAATCAAAGTTAAATTAAACATTGTTATTTCTTGTACCTGTATTAACAAGATTTAAATGGATGGAAATATATCACTGTTTCATAAGAATGTATATAATTCTTTTAATATCATTACTATGGTAAGGCACAATATATTTATAAATTATTATAATTTAAATTTCATTATCCCAAGGTATAAAATATATAAATTATACATTACATATTTTTATGACAACTATAAAAGTAATAAATAAAAAAATACATGCTAAAAAAAACTTTACTAAAAAGGGATGATATTGCCTTGATTTAAAAGAGGAACTCAATGAGATCTTAGAAGCGATACTAATAACTTAAGAAAAAAATAAAAAGACCAACCTGGGCCCCAGCTTTGATTTGGTGTACCAAATGTTTGACAACTGCATCTTTCAATATACTAAGTAGCTCATGACTAGCTTCAGGATGTTCAACAAGAAATTGTCTTGCCTTATTAGGATTTGGTCCAGCACTCACATTTTCAATCATAAATTTCATCAAAGTCCACTATTTAAAAAGAATGTACTGTAAATTTAAAGCAATAAATACGCTTATCAAAGTTCTAAGTTGAAATTAGACAACACATAAAAACTATGAATCAATATAAACTTACAGGTGCTCCAGTAAAGCCAAAGAGTGGAACTTTTCCTTCTAACTTATTTCTAGTCAGAGTGATAGCTTCATAGACATAACCCAATTCAGCAACTGCATCAAAATCTGGCTTTAGCCTTTTAATATCATCTGGAGTTTTAATTGGATCTGCAAAGACTGGACCCTGTTTTAAATGTAAGTGAAACATACTTAAAGAAAAAGGGAAACAAAAATAAATAAGAAAATCGGTGAATCTTTTAAAAAATACCCTTACAGTACTGTGTCCTATAGTGCCTATTTAACCAACACAGCCCATCTTTATTTTTCCCAACAATATATTTAAAGCTACATGGACTAAAAAAAAATATCCAATAGTGATATCTTAAAATATGTTGTGGGGTTTTTTTTGGTCACCCTTGACTTTTTTTTTAAATGAACAATGACAAAATCAAAAGATGAAAATAAAAAAAGAATAAATAGCAAAATTGTCCTCTAGTTACAAAACAAAGTATATTGCTAAAAACATTGGGTGTATAGAACAATTAGTGAAAGGCTGCTACTTTTTAAAAATTTAAACTCCAATGCATTTATAACAAAACATTCTAATTATAATCCTGTTAACATTTTTTTTAAATGCTGGCATATATCTCAATAACCAATAGTGATAGCGATCAGGAGAACCATTTTGTTTATAGTATAGAAGAACATTGATAATGTGAATATTTTCTTTGTTCAATTTGGGGACTAAGGAAATGTATTACCATGTCCTAATGTCTTTACTTATTGGTCAATGCTAACCATTATTATATAAAATGGTACAAATCAATTGTCACTTCATGTTTAAATAGGCACGCCAGAAATTTAATTTTGAATCTATGAATGCATGCTGAGAATATGCTAAAGAAAATATTTTCAGCTCTTCCATTATGGCAGATATTTCTTTTTAAAATGAGCTTTGCAAATTTTAATTAATCATGAAAATAAAAAAAAACTTTTAGGCTTTATCTAAGTGAAAGTTGGACTCTAGACAAATGCTATAATAATGGAAGACTTCTGTAAAAACAAACAAAAATATGGCTTGAGTGTAAGAAGTCATAATTACAATACATCTATAATATCTACTGAATCTTGATTAAAATTAACACATTTAAACCAATTGAATAAATATAAATAAATCCAAAACCTATGTTTTCCCCAGAGGAATGTGTTTAACATTAATAATCTCACCTCTCCAGGATCATTGGCTACAGTCAAGCCCAAAGCAACTGGAATTACTAATATATCTGAAAATATTATGGCCGCATCCAGATCATATCTTCTTATGGGCTGAAAACAAAAAAAAAAGATTGCTTTGCTAAAGTTAGGCTAAAAAAAAAATGTTAGAGCTTAAATGTGTTACTTTATCTAAGAATTAGCACTGACCTGAAGAGTTAGCTCACAAACCAGCTCAGGTGTCCTACAAGTTTCAAAGAACTTTGTAGAGCCTTTAGCAGCTCTATATTCTGTAATGAGGAATCATGAAAACTTACATGAGCTGATAACAAAAGGAGACTTAAATATTTTTTTTCAGTACCATCAATAATGCAACTAAGCGAAAACTAATCTAATGAAAATAGGTCAGAAGCACAGTAGGGACTAAGCTTTTAAACTAATGTGTAACAAAACTGTTACTTGACATTTGAAAAATATGATGACAGAATCTCAGTGGACTAA